GGATCATCACATTTTACGTTTTCCAATTGGCCATTTCCTTTTTAGAGGTTTGTATTACCGGCACAAATAAGTGGATATTTAAAAGCTGCACTAAATTCAATCTTATAAGAATTATTACATGATATTGCTAAGGAACTTTAGTAACTTATATTTTCATTACAATAAATTTTAGAAGTTGACAAAAAAGACATTTGTGCATCAAAAGATTTACCATTCTTCAACTCAAAGTCACATCTTGACTTCGCAACCCAAGACAACCCAAAAAGACATTAAAGTCAGCTCACTCAACACCAAAAATATATCTAACATTTCGCACTGATTCTAAGATAGAAATCTTTATAAGACCTAAATATTGAGTTAATGTACTCTCAAAAAACATTGGTTTAATGCGAATATAACTAACTAATTAAAAATAAATTAAAATAAATAAACTTTAACAAAGACCCTTTAAATAACATGGTACCTGTTTAGTAAGTTAAAGAAACTTGTTAAATAAACTTATTCCTAAGTATTTATAATATGAATATTTGCTTTTATGACTATGGCAGTATAATTCGCTAGAATCTCTTAACGCTATTAATTCAATTACCACACAGTGATGTATAATAAATGCTATAATATTTTATAACGTTGTAAAGAATGGTTAGAAAAGACATAATTATATAGCTGACATGTATACATTACGAAGAACTACGTATTAAATTTTATCGTGGCTTCAATGTGATAAAATTTTATCGTGGCTTGAATGTGATATCATAATACTGACACTTGTAATAAAATGGTAAGCACGTATTGTAAAATAATACTATGTTCATCTATCGACTAACTATTTATATATATAGACTAACTATTTATATATATCGACTAGCTATTTATATCTATATACTACTTAAACGGGGGACGTCTAAAGCGGAGTAGTTTCTTATAATATATATTTTATCGAATTAACTTTAGAATTATGGTCATCTTGGATTAGGGTTGGAGCAGGTTTTAGATAGTTATATATAAGCAAAATTGCCTTCCCGACATTTTTACTTAACTTACCCAAGGTAGGTTTAGACTGCTATTTTTTGTATTTTCAAGTTTTTCGTTTTTTTTTCTTGTTTGCTTCGTCAGCGATCATCAAAATTCTATAATTTGATTGGTCGAATATCACGTGATTCTGCTCCGCTTTAGACGACCCCTTAAACGGGTAATATCCCAAACCGGCATAATCAACACAAAAAAGGGCCTATGTATCTGGGGAGTAGCATATGTGCCGCAGTATATAATGATAATGATAAATTCATAAATTCAAGGGATCGACAGCCAATCAGATGGATTTTAATCATGAATTTTTAAACACAGAAATTCGTGCAACATTGGACGGTCCCCAATCGCGTCAACTGATAAAGATTTTTTATAATAATTATAGAAGATAAACATTCGATATCTGTTTTTTTTTGTTCTCGTTAACAGGCGAAATGGAGAAATTTTCAAAGTGGAGGGTAGGTTAACCAAATTTTGTTCAGCCTAGATGAAAAAAATGATAACACAATATTCTTAATGTTTAGGACGCCAGCACTGGAATTCAACCATTTCTCACTCCTATGGTACATAATTACATTTGGATTGTTTCGAAATTGGATGCAAAATAACAAAGTGCTCTATTTTATTCAATAGCCTTCGAGAACAAATACAAATATATACGCGAAAATTACATTTATACTCGGAATTATTTTGAAGCCAATTTTAGGGATTCTTAAGTTGTTATTGACATTTGTTACCGCCATATTACTATTTCTTTTAGTTGACATTATTGGACTAGCTCTGGTATTTCAACCTTCTATCTTCCTAAATATAATTTTTGAAATTGATCGGCTTAAGTCTTCAAATTTGAATATTTGATTTTATAAGAAAAACTTCAAGCCCATATATCGAACATATCACCATATATTCACTTCTTTGCTATCACGCCTTTCACTGTTTTTCATGGGATTCTATTGGATTCATGCAGAGACTGTTTCTTTACGGAAGGGGTATGTGGCGCTCCTATTGGAACTGTAACATGGTTGGTTATTATTCTTATTTCATATATTTTGGTGTCAATAGGCGTCCCAGTATTCCTAAACTTCGTCAGATAAGTGGTGTAAAACCCGGTGATGTGATAATTTGTAATTGGACATCTTATATAGAAGTGTTATATTTGGCATTCAGGTAGTGAATTTCCTTGACAATCTAGTTTATTTATCAATAATTTATTAACATTTCATTATTACAAACTATATAATACATAATTTTAGGTTTGATCCTATCTTCACGCAAATTTATCCATCTTCCAATACTCTACGGCCAATATCTTTGTGGACTGCGCTCTGGTTGACAGGTTCATATCCTGAAGATAAGCCACCCAGTGGTGTAAAAACTTACAGTCTCCAAGAATTAGTAAGGGAAGCTACAATAAATAAATGGGGACCGATCGTTGTGTTTCCTGAGGTAACTCTTGATCATATAAACACTTAAATAGTAAGATTATTGCATCTAATTTCTTTTCATAGGGAACGACTTCGAATGGACGTGCACTTTTGAAAATTGTTCCTATTTTCAAAAGTTTATCGTTGCCTATAGATGACTTTTCAATACACATTTTTATTGCAAGGTAATAGTAGTGTAACGCGATTTTATTTAAAATTCTATAATGCAACTAACTTGACTTAACGGGTTTAGGTATGAATATGACAACTTTTCACCAACTTATACCGTCGGAAACAAGTTCTGGCATTTCGTAATGCTGTGTAGTCAGGTATGCCAATAGTCCTTTTCCGACATTTAATTGATACCTATAATGTGCTTCCGAAATTAATTGTTGCTAATATCACAAAATTCATTATTCATTGTATATAGTATTTTAATGTCCTTCATGTCAAGATCCTTGCGCCTGAAGAGTCCCTATCCTCTCCTAATTTTGCGACCCCTTCTGCGCAATCGTCTGTTTTGACTTCACCATCAATAATACAGGATGATGTTATTGGCTCTCAAATTTTGAATTTAATGGGTCAACTTGGTAGAATGCGCAAAACTAATTTAGGGATGGATGATAAAATAGCTTTTTTGGATTTTTATTGGGAAAAAAAAAGTGGATATGCAAAGAAAAAAAAATAAAAACTTAATGCTTAGATCTATTTGTATAAAGTATTTTATACAGTAAAAGATTATATTACTATAATTAGAACTAACATAATACAAAATTAGTTATTTTAATGCAAATAAAATACATAAGCTTATGTACTGTATTGACATTATATGTTTTCGATATTAGTATAAATATTATTATTTTATTTGTGCGAGTAGTTGTATCAATGTACGTAGTATTATTAAATTATAATTGTGTAAAAGTATATACGTATATAATTTAATACTTTTAAAACTTCAAAAGAATTTTTATTATATTTTTCTAAGTTTTGTATATAAAATTTTTAATAACACGAATTTTTTACATTAGAGTTAGTATTTAGAGTATTGGGGGTGAAAATCATGTTAGTTTACTATGTTTCATAATGTGATTTTCAAGGCAATATCTCAAACTGATTAGTGGCTATATAGTTTAAATTAAATATAAATTGCATTTATAAAAACCAACTAATCTAATTATAAATATCAGATATCAGATATATATATACTATATATATATATATATATATATATAAATATAAATATATATATAAATAATTACATTAAATTAATGTATAATACTACGGTTGCTAGCATAAGCCTAGCCTAGACTGCTAAGGCGATTCTAAACTTAGTATTATAATGAACTTAGTCAGTTGGAATATTAAATGAAAAAAAACCTGTTTAAACCGGTGATGACGCTTATAACGCGTCATTTTAAAGACAATTTAATGACAACGATAAAATTTAATGTGATAATAGTACGTACATTTACATTTACATAACCAATAAACTAAGCACTAACAATCTCATTCGTCGTGTAATGATTTTTTAAGTGATAAATATATAATGAAAAATCAAATATAATAGTGTATGTAAATAAATACAAAGAATTTTAAAATAAATACTAGTGTAATAGTCACGAAAGAAATTTTAAATACTCTTTAAATTGACGACTTCAGATATTAAAAAACATCAGTTTTCTTATTGTTTTTGCCCATTATAAACCCAATCTGACACATATGAGAAGTTAGTGAATTCTTCTTGATTTTCCATAGTTAGTTTACTATTAACAGGAGTAAGAACCGGCTCTTCTTTCGTGAATTCTTCATCAAAATTGGAAGTATCAGTGGGAGATGCCTAAATAATATATATATATAATGATCTATTAATAAAATTGAGGTTAAATTATTATTTAAATGAATGAATTGTTGCTTACAATTGTAGGATAAAAAGGTGGCGGCACTTTCTTAGCAAGCATGTCATCCCAATTTACACCCTTGAAGAAAGGATGACGCTTGATTTCTTCTGCATCACTTTTCCCTGAACCAAGACGTCGTTCTGGATCACGGGTAAGTAACTGAAAAAGGATTATAACCAATTGTAAGGTAAACCTTTAAAGAAAGTGTAAAATGAGATAATATTTATTGTTAAATAATCATACCTTCTGCAATATTGATACTGAATCTCTAGACATATTTATTGGATAAAGAATTTCATCTTCTAGAATTGCATCAAATATTTCATCTTCATCGTCGCCACGGAAAGGCGATTGTCCAAGAAGCATTTCATATATCAAAACACCAAAGGCCCACCAGTCGACCGCACGACCATATCGTTGTTCCAGAAGTATCTTAATAAGAAACAAAATTAATTATTAACAGTTAAGCATCCGCTACTAATACTTTATATCTATTCACCTCGGGCGCCATAAATTCTGGTGTTCCACAAAATGTGTTTGTCGTATCACCATGCCCCATATTTTCTTTACAAAGACCATAATCTGCAATTTTGATGTGTCCATCAAGAGTGAGTAATATGTTATCGAGTTTAAGATCACGGTATATAATGCCTTGTTTATGTAAATATTCTAAAGCAAGTAGAACTTCGGCCGCGTAGAACCTTAGAATTGAACGATAATTTTATTGTCAACAATATATTAACTGAAAACGATAATTTTATTGTCGGCATAAAAATATTAATATCACATGCTAGTATATATCTCCATCTCATGCTAATACTAGCATCTAACACATCAAATATTAATTAAACAAAAAGATACTTACTGCGCACGTCGATAAGTGAATTGCTCTCTTTGAATATGCAACATCAGATCACCACCGCTAACGTACTCCATAACAAAGTAAATGCGGGTTTCTGTCTGGAAACAAGAGTGCAAGCCAAGTAGAAAGGGATGACGTTCGCGATTAGCTGCTTGGAAAACACGCTTTTCGGAACGTGTACTTTTTAATTTTACCGGAAGAAATTAAATTAAATACATTTGTTAATAGAATAATGAAATATAATAAATTTATTTATATCCACACACCTTTCAACTTCATCATTTTCAATTATAAATTCTTTTTTCAACACTTTTATAGCATACAGATTTTTGGTATATTTTTCTTCTGCAAGCATGACCTATAAAATCATTTAATAAGCAAATCATTTAAAGATTCCAAATGAATTCATCCATTAAATAAATATTAAAATATTCATACCTTGCCAAAATTTCCTTTACCCAAGACTGCAAGGAAATTAAAATCATCCAATCCAACTTTCTGTGTCGCACTAATTACGGAATCAGGTTTATCTTTAGGGGGAGGCACTGAAACTGCAGACTGTTGGCCAGAAGGCCTTTCTGGAATAGGGGATGTTATTACCGGCATTTGACCTCGGAAACCACTATGTGCATCTCGATATTCCGACGGTAGATCATAGGAAGGTTGTTGTTTTGGTAGTGTTGGTTGTGGTTTCGGCTGTTGATGATTGTTGGCATTCCTAGCTTCAACGCTATATCTAATTTGCTCGATCATATCACTTGCACGTTTCATGCTCATTCCGCAGAAATCAGGAACCAGATGTGCGCATTTTGAATGACAAGTAATGCCACAATCTACAATAAGTAATAAAGATATAAATAAATGTATTCAATATTATATATAACGTGTCTTAAACATCACATACCAGTACATTTCTTCGCCCCTTTCTTGCCTAACGGTAGAATATAACCACAATGACAGCACCAATTTGCAATAATACTAGTTATAGGTTCGAAACGGTGTGGAATGCGATGATTGAGTTGTTTGTAGTCAGAATCCTAAAATTAATAGATAATTTTAGGTCTTAACTAATATTTAAATAACTCTTAATGAAATAAATTTAATATTGTCATATTTTTCAATTACCATTTCCGCGTGTGACATGGTGATACATTTCGTCACTAATTTAGTGTAGCATCTCTTGTGACAAGTCAATTTACAATCTATAGAAATAATGTAATTTAAGATGGTGTACTTATATTTAAAAAAAACATATTATATATTATATAAGAACACATATATACCATCACATTGATATCCTTCGTTCACAAATAATTCTTCACAATAAGCGCACTTCATGATTTGATAGAATATTTGTTGAATGAAATTATGTCCATTCTGTTTATGCACTTCTCCCTTGCGTTTACGGAAAGCCCCTTGACGGCCAAGACCAGCATCTGGACGCTTGTTCGCAGTCTCTTTCACTGAATTCCGCATATAATATTAGACATATCATTTAATTACACAAAATATCGAATATTAGGAATGAAAATCTAATATATATATTTAACGATCCTATCATACCAAAGTTTAATTTTAATAATATTTGACCAACTGGTTCAACGTCAAACCATGCTTCAATACCATCTGGTAGAATAGCTGTTCCAGCACCTTGTTGAGGTTGAGCAGAAGAATAAGGTATGCTATATGGTGGTCCATTATTATTGTTCATAGCAGAAGTGGGTGAAGATTGCATTTCAAATTGAGCATTAGAAGCAGTAACCCAACCCGGACCACTTTCAGCCTCAATCCTTTTTTTCCTAAGTTCTTCAGCAATATCAGAAATTTTAATCCACAAGAGACCAATAGGTTGCGGATGTTCATGAGGTTTATCATATAATGTAATTTCAATTTCACTAGCTTTTTCTACATGAATTTCGAAATCTTCATTCCAACGATCGTTACGCGAGGTCTTTGTCTTGCCTTTTGTCGAACCATCAATTTTAATGACGACAGTGGTTTCTGGAGATTTTGACGTGCGCATGGGGGCATGTGCCAAATGCTGTGCACTACGTACACGAATATCAAGTTTTCCTGTCACAGGACGACGCTGCCGTGGTAAAATTTCATCGTCTGCCAAGAATTTAATAAAATACATAAAATTTATATAAAGATGTTATAGCTTTATAGATACGAATAAGCTAGTTTTTTTTTTTATCAAATTCAAATCTATCAAACATTTCCAGATAATACTATTGCTCACAATACAGTTAAAACCTGTTATATGATAAAGAAACGGCCGCATACAAATTCTTAACATTTTTATTCATATATAATACTTACATTTATCAGAAAGTATTGTGCAATATTAAAGGAAATGTTGTTATACAAGGAAAGTAACTCACCTTCTTCTTCATCTACAATATATAATGATCTATATTTTTGTAACGATCTTGTTAATAAAGAAATCTTTTCTTTACTCTCCAATGTTTGAATCTGAACATCTGCGATGCCTTTTTTATTCTTTGGATCTTGCGAAAGAACCGCCTCACTCATTCTCTCCGAACCTTCCTTAAGTCTTCGTTCAACATCAAGTTTGAATTCGAGTTCGTGAAGTTTCAGTGATATTTTTTGGCGGGCAAAAGGGGCGTCCGATTTAATAAGGTCTGTTTTATTGTAAAAAGGATCCGGTGAACAGATCAGTCGAATGGTTTACAGATATTTGAAGAGCAAAAAATTCGAAAAAACAAAGAATTTGCCACGAAATCCCACCCAAATTAGATAATCCACTCCTCCGTACAGGCGGTATCGATGAATCATAATTTTGGTCTAAAGAAGGATTTCGTGCTGGTACATTAGAATAATTAAGTTGTTGGTTTGGTTGTGGATAAGAATAAGAATGATGTGGTGATATTGGTGAAAAATTTCCACCAGGAGACGTCTGTTGATAGGGTTGTTGGCCAGGTTGTGAAGGATATTGTAAACTATTACGTTGCCTTATTTGCAGCCTTTCTAATTCTTTTTGTAAATAATCTATATTCCTTGCGGCGTCAACAATGTTTTGTTCACACTGCGCTACAACCTGAGGATTGGTAGTTTGATTTTTGACCCTCTCGGCGGCTTGCCGCATTTGCACCTCCTTTTTGATTTTTTCATTGACAGCTCTTAATTTGCCGTCAATGTCCTATCGGGGAAAATGTCAGTCTCGAACAGCTCATCTTTAAGGAGGAAACACGCATGCACGAAATAATAGAAACAGCTCTACACCTACCCCCATGGTTCGTTCCAATAAAAAAAGAAAATTTTGGGTTAAGCGAGAACTAAAACTATGTATAACCTTATACGCAGTCTACTTGATCTTCTGTGTGCATATGTATGTATTAACAGTTGACATATCTGATTAAAACGTTAATTGATGATACAAAGCGTGACTAGCGATTTCATTGTTCACGTGTGGACAAAAAATATTTCTGTTTGTTACAATTTATCATGTCCAACAAATCAGTTCCGCATATAGAATTTACAAGGTTTCTTATTGTCATTGTATGTATACGTATATCATCGCGTTATTAAGATATATGATATGATTAATATAAAATATAGTTGTTACAATTTCTCCTCAAAGTTTAACTTTATTGATTTGATTCGATTTATTTATTTATACACTATAGCTATACAAGTGATACAAGCCGATCCTTTATTCTGCCGAGCCATTTACAGTATAAGCCGACCAAGCCACTTCTCATAAATAGTCAATATGGGCACTTTTTCTAAAAATTTAACCAATTTAATTTACAAATTAATTTGTTATTTTATACGTAGTATAATACGCACCATATATATAGTAATTATACTTTACTAATTTAGAAAAGTATTTAAGAAATAAACTGTTAATTATATCTTTTACATTTATGATATAAAAATGCTGATTAAGTGTAAATATAATTTTAGATATTTAGGTTTTACACAAAGTTATATGTGTTACATTGTCCGCCATCAACACCAGCCAAGCGTTTCAATGATCATAATTAAAACCACATGATCATGATTATGGGTAATTTTCACTCAATGGATGAGGTAAATTTTTTTATTAGTCGGGAAATGAATAAATTAGATGAACAAGTGAGATATAAACCATCTTTTTTCTTCAAAAATTCACCATTGATATAGGTTGCTCAAGCATTACTTTTACAGTTTTTGCATAACATAATAAACAATGAATTCTCAACAAATTTCCAACTGTCTAAAAAAAAAATAGCTTTAAAAACAAATAATCGATACCTTGATACGAATGTAATAAATACGACCCATTTTTATTAACCTTTATAAAACTAAAATGAATACTGCTATTCCATTTTCTGTTCCATATTTAACGGATAATGAAGGGTATAACTTTTTTTCGAAATAATTTTCGTATTATCTACAGTGTGAAGTAGCAGTTGCGCATAAACAAAAATTTTAAAATTTACAGATTATTAACGAAAAAAAGTTTATTTCTTGTTGCTGTAAAGTAATCTTCACTAATAACTCCGTAAGTTGTTTCAACAAAATTTAAATTGGTAAAATTATTAAAAGGAAAAGCCAGCGCAACTGAAGATTATGATAATTAGTAAGAGTACGTTTAATTCTATAAATATCGTTATTGATTGTGATGCTTGAGCTTATCATGATCATTAATTAATCAATTGATTGAGATGCAAAAAGCAAACAAATTAGTAGCTTAAAGTGAATTAACTACGTAATAACAGATAATCTAACCTAAAATTGATCAATTAGATACGCTTGCTTTATAGTATTACCACTAAAAGTTACTACGTATACGTAACGTGATAATATGTGTGTACTATATACGTATTAGTGTTTCGATCCTACGTATCATAAGATTATTGTCCGGACATTATATGTTCAGGTAAGGTTATATAAAGTTATGTTTTTGATGCATCAATATTTATAATATATATCAACGTAAATTTTAATTTGGTATCTGTCCGAATGTGTAGAGTCACGTTTTTTTGATTCATCACATTATTTTGAACTGGGTTGCGTCAAAAACAAGAGTATAACATGTTATGCTCCGGACACACAATAAAGCTAGCTTTTGAGCACATCATTAGGTCCATTATTTAAGTTCTTTAACCAATTCGAGTAAAAAAATCTTTGATCTGGATATCTGAATTTATCTGCATTAAAAGATTAATTCAGATTGTAAATTAAAAAATTTATTAATTTATACATATATGGTATAACTTATGCTGTGTAGTGTTTATTACAGTATACTTGTATAATTTAAATTTGTATAATAAGATAGAGAGGGGAAATTTGGCGAATTGCAGGTATCCCGTGATCTGTGGTCAAAATTAGATAGCCACCCTTAAAACTTATAATACAAGTATTATACACAGGTATAATACCATAATTAAAAACAATTTAGCCAATTAAATCGGGTTATTTGAGGACACGAAGATTTCCAATTTAAACATGTAAGTTTTAGAAATTTCCGAAAGATTCCGAACCATATTAAACTATATAGAAGCAAAATATTGGTTATACAGTATTATACGGTATCATACCTGGTATTATACTACCATTTCTATTATGCCGGTATAATAAAAACCCTAGCCACCCTTCGATTCGTCTCATTGGGTCACAAGATGTTGGTGTCCGATAATATTAAAAAATTTATATATTATATTCGGATGCCAATATCTCATGACCCAGTGATCGAAATCAGATGATTTCTGTACCATTCGAATTGAATCGAGGAGATGAATCGATTAGTGATAAAATTGTTTGATTTCAATTATGGAATCACAAGATACTTGCAATTCGCCAAATTACCCCATCCACCACAATACTCTTATGTATATACAATTGTTAATAACTCGTGACCCTGTGATCCAAATTGAATAATTTTAGTGCCATTTAGCCTAGACCAATAAATAATAAGTTATGCAAGATTTTTACTAATTTTGCCTATTTACCTAATATATTTTAATTTTTATATACAATGCAGTATAGTGCTTGGCAAAATTAAACTTTTGTTTAAATCTGACTTTTAAATTAATATAGCAATACAAAAATACTATATTGCTGTATTAATTTAAAAGTTAGCTTATTATATATATTTGAGTGTTAAATAAAAGTTTGGTTTTAATACAATATACTAATAATTAATATATATATTGTATCTGATTTTGAATTTGTTTTAATTTGGATTTGAACTACCTTAAATAAGAATTTTGTAATTTTTATTAAAATTATACTACTAAAATTAAAATTTTTATAATAGATTAGAATTCTGTGGCCTAGTGGTCTAGACATCTAACCCTTTACAAGCAGATTTCAGGTTCAAGTTCTAGTAGATACATTTATTTATGAATATTTGAATATACTCACATGTGAGAAAGTTCAAGTAAATATGAATTTGAAATAGGAATTTTTGAAAAGAGATCTATTTGTGAAAAGATAACACTATATATAATAGTTAATATTACAGAAGGTTCTATTATACAAAGATTGTGTATATAAATCCTCAATTGGCATAGGTAGTACTAACAACCCTAAAACAGTACTGGGATCTTGTTTGGGAGGAATTATTGATAAGATTTTTCAGGAGCTGAATCTGTTAAATTACAATCTTAAAACCCAAAGTCCAGTTTTCTTTTAATTGGTAATTCATCAATCAACTAGAGAATAATCATAGTAAAATGTGACTCAAATTACTTATAAAAATTAAAGGTCTTCAAATGTGGCGTACATGCATCTAAAACTTTTTTTTATACTAAGTTAATCATTTTTCTAACTTAAAAGACTTTTGTAGAGCTTGTTAAGATGCATCTAATAGTGGTTATAGCATTAAAATCAGCTTGGTAAATACTAATATATCTTTAAAAAACATTTTTTTTACTATGTAAACTTTTTTACAAACAATAGTATTATTTGCAAAGAAGTTTATATAGTAAAAAAAATGTTTTTTAAAGATATCTTAGCATTCACCAAGCCGATTTTAATGCTATAATCACCATTAAATGCATCTTGACAAGCTCTACAAAAGTCTCTTAAGTTAGAAAAGTGATTATAAAAAAGTTTTAGATATGTGCATGCCATATTTAAAGATCTCCAATTTTTATAAATAATTTAAGTCACATTTTACTATGATTATTCTCTAGTTAATTAGTAGATTACCAATTAATGTTGTTCATATGTTTTTGTTTATATGCTTGTATAAGTGAGCTAAACAAAATACTTTTAATAATATTTTAATAATACTCCAAAATATAAACTACTTTATTTTAATAGCATTGCTTCAGAGTATTTACTCAGAACCCCAGATATCTTTAATATAGATCATATTTAAATTTTGGCCAATTTGGTTTAATTTGCTAAAAACTAAAAATTCACTTTTTTAAAATATTTCTAGATTCAGTAATCAGAATTGAATGAATTTTTTTTAAAAAAAATGTCTTATTAAAGGCTTTTTTTTAAAAAAATATTCATCTAAATTGAACTACTAGTTGCTAAAATAATTACAAAAATGTGTTTTTTTGCTCCTTAAATTTATAGAAGTTTTGCTAAAAAGTTCATTATCCCAAATATTCAAGGTTCTATTTACTTCTATTAATAGTATTTTAATAATATAGAGTGATATTATATTATGCTTAAACCATACTGATATGAAGTGAGTTATACTTTATAGTTACTCCAGAATATTTTATTCATTAACATTTCTAAGAATAAGTCTTTGATAAAAAAAAATCAGATAATAAATAATACTGCTTTAAGCAAAAATATTTTTCTTGCAATTTTACTCTATTTTAACTTTAAACTCTAATTTTAATTTAACTTTAATCTAATTTTAATACTCTAATCTAACTCTAATTTTTATTAGCAAACTTAATTTTGCTATAAAAATACAAAGTGTATAAGTGCACTATCTAGATTTATTTTATAACTAAATATACTTTTATTGTAATTTTAAAATAAAATTTCAAATTCAAAAATAAAACACACAACTCTCCCCAACAATCACTTGAACCAAAATTTCTTACCAAACAAAAACAAAAATTTTGTTGGAGAGGAGAAGGCTGCACTATAAGATAGTTCTTATAAAGATCAACCTTTTGGTTTTGGAGACTTCTTTACATATTTGGCAAGCAAACCAGAAGTATTAGAAAACAAAATAACTAGCAGAAGTTAGCACCTTTGCTTTCAAAATTCTGGAAAAAAGGTGTTTAGAGAGAAGGTAAGGCCTTCTTGTCAACATTAACAAAATATATAAACATAATTTTATGTAAGATATTATGCCCCGTAATATTGCGCAAGAATTACAGTCTAAACAAAATATTGTGCAATTTTATTATAGAATATTTCGCAATTTATTATGGAGTATTATACAATATATTATAGAATATTATATAATTTATTATGGAATATTTCGAAATAATTTCAAAGGTTTTAAAATTTAGTACCTATAATCAATCTATATAATTTAAATTTGGGTTCAATATCAATGTTATACAGATATATAATAATACTGTAATATTTACATACATTTGTATGTACAAGACTTTCAATAATTATTATATCATAAGTGAAATTTTTATTTATTATTATTCGTGCTATTAACAGTACAAACTAAAAACCAAAAATCTAAACACCTAATCCTAACTAACCTAGCCCTAATTTTAATTAAAATGAAACAATAGTAATGACTCTAACTCTAATTTTAACTATAACAAACGGTGCTAATAATAATGAATAGTACAAAAACCAGAGAAAAAACCCTAACAATAGTACCGAATACGATAACAGCGACACCAAATACAGCAGCGCCAAAAACAACAAATTCACACAAAGTCGACTCCAAGAACAAATTAAATATGCTTTAACAGCAACTATGACAATTCCAGAAATGATTCAACTATACTCCAATAACGATTATAGTGATTATCAGAATTTCTCAAGAAAGCCCAAAGGCATTTTAATAGCACCTAGAAAACAAAGAAGATGTTAATAATGCATTTACAAGTAGAAATAACAAAGCAACAAACAACAAAATACTGCATCTCACAATTTTCAAGAAAAACGAATAATTCACCAAAAGTGGCGAAATCTGGTACCAAAAATGAAATTATGTCCACCATTTGTAATGAGAAACTAGCACAACAACTCTGTCACCAAAACATAATGCCAAACCAACAAGGCACCAAAACTGACGATATTCAATGATGAAATCACTAGCACTACTTAACTTGCACAAGAAGCCAGCATACAATGCCAACTACTAAGACACCAAAAAGCGACTCTAGCAAAGCCACATTACTGCCAGCACTACTTAATCTGCATAATATAAATTGGAAAAAAAAATTAGTAATGTTAGTGTTGGGTTAAAAAAAACAAAAAAAAACTGATAATAATCATCATAGATGATCAAATATTTATATTTCTGTAATTAATAGAATCACAAGGTCACAAGATTTTTTTAACATATTATAAATTAGGAATGTAAGTTAATAATAGTTTTATTATAAAAGAATTATTTACTGGATTTAGCCTTTAAAAAACATAATAACAATAACATTTATGATATAATACATATCAATGACTAGATTTTCATATACTAAATTTGATAAATAATAGATGATAAACTTGAAAGTTTGAAGTTTAATTTACTTTTAGTAGTGCTCAAATGATTTCTATACATTTTGAACTATCTTTTTTTTTATCCCAGCGTATTATTTTTTATTTTTTATTCATTTTATTTTCCAATTAGTTATTTTGCCTCATATTACTATATATTATACATTATATTGTTCTTTCATCATTTTACCTATCAATACCACTGTTAGTTATTTTTATATATGGGATCTTAATTTGCCCTTTGAAAAAATCATAATTTCATGTTATATTTTTAGTAAGGATCACAATATTTATGTATAGATTAGTCACACAACCGGATCGACCAAAGTTTAGAGTCAGAATGCATTGGAGTTATACCGGCATTAAACAATAATAATATAATTATATTATAGCAAAATTAGCATCTGGGAAATTTTACTCAGTATATAAATTACTGGATTATTGGCAAAATTTATCAATTTTGATTCATTTTGTCTTGGAATTTGGTTGATTTGCTGAATTTTGATTGTGCAACTATTTGTTCGAAGCATAGCAAGGACTTACTATGGAGATGTATATTTCAGTGCTTCAATTAAAAAGTATAAAATTAACTTGAATAAAAGACAAATTAGCACAGGTAATAAATTAACACAGATAATAAATTAATAAGAGATGCATATATTGTTTTTAGATCTTTGATTATAATTATTGTTATATTTGCCAGTTAAATTAATCTTTGCGAATATAGATCTAAAAAAAAAAATTAAAAATCAGTGCCTTTTATAAGAAAGAATCATTTTACCTCCTTAGAATGTCAAATCATTCACAATAATTACTATACCACTTTATAGATACCACATTTATTCATCAACAAGTTCATTTTACCAACAGTCTATTTTACTAAAGCTCTTTTACTAACAGAACTTTTTGAAATGAGCTTTAGTGAAATAGGCTGTCAGTAAAATAAATCTGTTAGTGGTGAAATGTGGTGTCTATAAGATGAATTGATCAGATTTTGCTAGCCAAATTTTAATTTACATGCAACTTAAAATTTACTATTATTAATTTTTTGTGATTATCCTTTAAACCGTATATTTTAGCGTACAAATTTGTATGCTAAAATTTTTAAAAGAAAATTGAGCTCTAAAAAAAATTTTTTTAATAAAACCTCTCTTCTAATTGGTTATGGCGA